AACGTTTGGTCCTACAGCCATTGTGCTTCGCTCCACTGGCGAAAAGAGTTGCGATTGGTGTGTGGAAGGGAGACCCTGCAAACTTCGTGTTGAATAATCTTGAAGACGTTTGGTAAGGCGCGCACGAGCCCGAAAATAGGGCAGGGAACATACATCACGAATTAAATTCCGACAAAGCAGCGACAGAAATTCGGTTACACGCTGTATGCATGTCGTAAACATAATGATTCCGCATTGGGGAAGGTTCCAAAAACCTCGTTTGGCTTGGAGTTGACCTCGTACCCATAAAAACACAAGGCTACCAGAACACACAAATCTCTTTCTTTCGCATTTTACGACTAGCCACATTGTCATCCTTTCATCTCACCGCATACTACACTACCTGGACCGATATACACACTAATAATGCCGAGATTTGCACGGGACGGAGTTGATCGCTGATGTGAAGGTAGGGTCGATAAGGAACTATCCGGGAAGGTCCTACAAGGTCTTGTGGCTCTGTAGCCGGTATATAGTTCATGAAAGAACCTTACCACCCTGACGCTGGTTCTCCTTAGATCACATGTACGCTGAGTTGTACATAATTCCATCAAGAAAAATCTCACTGAAAGATTACTACGTCTCCGTGATCGGGATGATTTGAGCTCAAGCAAGGATAACAACACGACAAGGTGCATAAGGCTGTATGGGCATGACATATAGCATGTATTTTGTGTTAATGGCATTGCGATATGTAGAGATGAACACTGAAACGTGACGACGCAGGATGACCGGGTTAAGCGCTTTATGCCTCGGCAGTCGGCTTGGCCTTCTTGGTTGCCGTTGTGTTCTCTCTGAGGGTGAAGTTAGTCACGAAGAAGACAACTAGAGTTTTAACGTGATTCAAAAATATAAAAGTTACCTGAATCCGTTCTTGAACCTCCTCGACACCCCTTTCAGGTGCCTCATCCTGCCAGTGCCTGTGGTCTTTCTGCGCTTAGCCTTCTGTCCCCACTCGTACGATCTCAACTTCGCGGACGGATATCCACATTGAGCACAAGCTATCTCGGTGTCATAAGCATATCGTCTAAAACTGGTTGACTCTGGGCGCACTTTTATGCTGTCTATGGAAGGCTCTGTTCCCGCATCGCCGGCAGAGCGTGTGTGACTTTGTGTGTCTCTTACTATAATAGAATGTTTTGGTTACAAAAGGTTACAGGATTCTGGATAGTAACACATACCCAAAGGACGAAGTACCTAGGTAAATCGTACAGATCAAAAGTAAATTACTTGAACTCGAGAAGTATGAAACATTGTAAACGAACCTTTCGTCTGTTAAGGCAAATGCAGATATATTAGTATGAGATTATGTGGGGTAGAAAGGCAAGTGGATGAGTATGGCTTTGTGCCCAGCCGCGAAACCACCGTCCATCCAACCACATCCAAAAACTCCGGCGTTAATCCATCGTTCCCAACCGTCCAAATCCTCCCATATAGCAATCCGGTGGACCTTAGACATAGATGTAGCGTCCGGGAGAGTAAAAACTCACCATCTCGTCGTGTTCTTGAGGATTTTAGTGTCGGTGGGGGATTGGGGGCCAAAATCAGGTATTTAGTTGGAGTGGTGGACGATCGTGGGAATTTCTCCGCATTTGGGAAATTGCCGGATCCCAATCACGAACATCTGAACACTTTGGCCTCTCAGCTCAGTTCGTATTCAATTAATATCCTCTTCTGTTTCTTGGCTGGTCGGTCGACTATAACAACGTGGAAAACAGATAGTCTTAGTATCCGTGTGGGCAAGGCCCACCCTACATACCTGCTAGCCTCTTCTGACTACTGTTGAGAGTACAAGAGTCTTTAAGTTGGGGGGCTCGGACATTTTATCAGTTCGGTCATTGCTAATTTTCGAAGGCACGAGGCCCTTTATTGTTTCGACGTGCATTTATGGACTACTCTGATCAGCCTTTCAAAAGTTCACCCTTAACGCCAAAGGTCGGGCTATATACACAAAATGGTTACTTTGGTGCTGTCACTCCCGACCTCGCTGATTCTCCTCGTTCACCTCCACATCCTGGAATACCCGCATGCAAATAAACCGGAGTACGACCATAACATCTTCAGTTCTCAGGCTCGCGGGCTACGGGACCGGATTAAGACCCTGGAAGACATATGTTATTTTCTTGTCGGCCGGTTAGAAGGAAACGCAAGGACGGTGCGCCGCTACTGAATCAAATACATGAAAGCGCCATTCACAGGGTACAGATCTTACCAAGTTATCCCTGCGCGCAACCGTCAGATACCGTCGCCTTTCGTACTTCACTCGCAAAATACCTTGAAACATTGAGACATCAGTCCGTGTTTCCTTCATCGAAGGTATCGGTAGGGGCTGGCAATAAGGTTGGGGGGAAGTCGGATGGAGTAAAAAGTGGTGGTTCAGCATGGTGGTGGAAAGATGTCTTGGTGCGGAAGTCGCTTCTAGAAGAATGTTCAGGCGAAAAGTGAGCTTCTAATCACGTCAGATAAACCCTCCTCACTATAAGATTATAGATTCGAACGTCTAATACTCTCCGTTTCAACTCACGCACTTCTAAAAGGCGTGGCATCATCTGCGATTGTACTACCAGATGACACAACAGTATGCCACCACTCAAATAGCATATCATCGCTTGACTCATTTCATAGAGACTATTTCGTACACAGCCTAACATGTACACTGGACTCTTGTTTAAGTCCAAGTCTAGGCGACACGTATGGTCACATTCGGCTGCGCTTCTTCTCCAACGCCAAGGTTCCTGTAAATCCTTACGTGTCAGTACTTGTGCACTCGTCTTGAAACATCGAACTATGATGTAATGAGATCCTAGGAACTCCTAGAGTCACACGGCGGCGTCTCAACCTCCAAGTACTCTCATCTTGAGACCGAGCGCTTGGTATCTCTTGTGACCTCGAAATTGAATGATCTCCATGATAAATTATGGTATGCCCAAGCAGGGCGCTTGGCACTTCAGTTCCTAGCGCGACTTTATGGCTTGACAAGTCCAGAGACTTTGGGCGTCCCTCACACCGATCCTGAGGACTCTACAAACTTCAAGGTGTGTTTCACTTTCTTGATAAATAAAGCCTTCTCTCTGTAACGCAGGCCCTGTTCCAGAATCCTACGACGCCACCCCAGCCACTTCCAATAGCGGCCGCTCACCACCCTGCGAACCTCAAAAAGCTTCGGAAACCCGTTTTCTCATCAACGAAGAAATTACGTGGAGGAAATCAGGTTGATGGGAAGGGAACATTTGTTTCAGCACAGCCTAATCATTCTCAGTCGGTTGCCGAGGTCACCCTATCAGGCTACCTCGATTCTGAATTGGGAAGACAACGGGAAATAGTCGGGGCTCTCGCGAAATTGAAGGAAATTGGACAGGAATTACTGACCCGCGCAAAAACCCTGGAAGATAAATATAAATCGAAAGCTGGACGCTCTACCCTGACGTTATGGCAGCCAAGTGGTGGGTCACCAGCGACCATAATCAATTTCACTGTATATTTATGTTTATTATGTATATTGTTATGTCGATTCTCACTATGAAACGCTTTCACAGGTCAAACCAACCCCGGAGCTTCTGTCTTCTCTTTCGCTTCATCCGCCATTCAGTAATTCTTCCCTAGAATCACAGATAGATGACATACGAGATTCCATACTGCCGTCTTATCCTATCATCCCTGACCTCTTTGGCCCTCGGCTACCCTATAAGGATGAGCGTTCCAACTCAGACGTTCAGATCTCTAGGATCCCCCGTGCTAATACTCAAATTCTTGCGCTGCGCTCGCATGCTTCGGAGTCCAACTCAAAATCGGCGCTTATTACTTCGACCCCCTCTCTTACTCTCAAAAATAGTCGTAAGGTCCCGTTGAATGATGGGACAATTAAAAGTACTATGCGATGGGGGTCGAAAACTCCTCGGAAATCCATTCGCTTCTCCCTCGCTGTCAACAGTCGCCTGTCACTATTTCCGAGTGAAGAGGAATCGGACGAGGGTGATGCTTTCGAAGACGAAATCAACCGCGTATGTAGTCTCTACTTGTGATATGGGAAATTTTGGCCGTTTACTGACATACCGATAGATTGTGCATGGGATAGAGGATGAGTCGATGGAAAACATAATTGTTCCTGTAACACCTAAACCAAAGGCGCCGCCGGTGAACCGGATTTTCACTGGTACGAAAGGCTCTACAGCCAAGCGACCGAAACAATCATACCCCATGGTTTTCCACGAGCCTTCTGTCGCCCTCCCATTGTTAATTGCTGCATCAACGTCCCTCGATGGACTTCTAGTAGATAGTAGTGATGAAGAAGGCGATCTGACAGACCAAGGCACACCAAACCAGAAGCTTTTTGATAATACTGCTGACGGGAACGAAGGATACGAGAATGAAGCCCCAAGTATGACGTTACGTGACATCCTTTTACGGGCCGACACTACGGACTTTGACCTTTTGGGTGAGTTTGGTCAATGTTGATTCCTTGGTTTGATACCAAATTTTTTGAATAGATGAGGATGGTGAAGATGGATTAGAAAATGAATCGTTCGAGTGGGATTAAATCACCTATCGGTGTGATTCTAGGTGGAGGATTTTATACCAAAATAAAAATAAAAATATTCTATAAAGTTGAATAAGGGTTTGTTTTTACTGTATCCAAAATTTAGGTGACGGTAATGCCTTGGGTCCCGCTCAGTAAAAAATAAAGTCAAACTTTAGTCATGAGATTTAATTTTGCCCAAATGTAATTGTCAAGAGCCAACCACAAGTAGTTAGAAATCATTCATTTCCTCCCAAATGGCCAAATCCACATTGAAAGTTGATAAAATCTTGATTTTGGATTACCTTTTTTACTGACTTTTGTGTGACTTTTCGTTGACTTGGTTAAATTCTTGGACTAAACACTGACTAAGCATGACTTTACTTTTTACTGAGGGTCCCGCCCGTCAGCCCGACACATCCCGACGCCCGCCATTATGATCGCCGCCTGCCTAGCTCAATTGGTTAGAGCGTCAGACTCTTAAGAATGCGATATCAGCATTGTTAAGATATATCTGAAGGCTGCGAGTTCGACCCTCGCGGTGGGTTACTGTTACTATTTTTCGTCACTATTTTTCAAATTGCAAGATCAAAAATCGCACCCCAAATTTGGAAACCCCGCCTTTTTCCCACATTTCCGGATATTTCCGCTTACCAGATTTAATAATTATATGGCTATCCCTTTTGCTACTATGTTAGGGGGCATTGCTTGTAAAATATCCAAGGAACAGTATGTAGGTGAATCCTCTAGAAATTCTCAGTTCCAAGAGAAGAAGATTGAAAATAAAGAGACTAGGCCAAAGGGATGTGGGTCACGAGGTCATCAGGGCCAAATATCAACCAAACTCCTTGAAGTTAAAACACTACTATCATCACCACCAGCTGTGGCTCACACTGATTCCATTGACACCGAACACTCACACATGACTGCCAAAGACGATTTCTTGGAGCTTCATGTTTATAACACGAGAAAGGCGATAAAACACGAACTCATTACAATCAAGAATATTCCTCGACCCGACGCACTCCTCCAAAGATTCATAGATACACTAAGGCAGAGTCATCGATTAAAATATTTTGTGGGTACAGCGGTGTACATACCCACAGCGAGTCATGTGTATCTCTCGTCGGAAGATGAAAACTGGGCGGAGATGGTGTGTACAGACGGAACTGGACCACTTACGGACCCGTCAGAAGTGTATGTGTAATTCTGGGTATACACCCTGAAGCTGACTTTTGCATCACATCACTCAGCAACGCTGTAAGCGGCGATCCCTGCTATCCTGAGGGACGGTTTGTCGGTCTCAACGTCTATAACACTACGGGGGGAGGTGTATACCAGTCCATAAAGCCAAGAGACAGTTCCGCTGTTCATGCTCGTCTACTTCGACGTTCCCTGGAAGCTCTCACATATTGCAACGGAAAACAATTCACCATTCAAAATGTTACCTATACTGACGACGATGCCACTATCAATATCTCAACAACAGATACAACCTGGATACAAGGTTTAGATGAAGTGCTTCGAGGACTTCCTTAACCTATATTAACTTAGGAGGAGTTCATATTCTATGGAAACTAGGCTGTGTGTAGCCATCACGTTCTTTCTAATGCGCCAAACAAGGGTCAGGGACCAAGGTCGCCGGTTTGGGAGCGATATCCAACCCTTGATATACGATATGTCGGGTTGTTACTTTTGGTGGACGAAAATCAATCACATTGAATCCGATCACGGCCGCTTCAAACCGCGTGTAGGCCACGTTGTATCCGGACTAGTTTCTACAGTATGATATCTACCTTGACGACAACTCTTTCCTTCTCGTCCTTACAATAATCACTTCTCTGCGACCCTAATCATCCAAATATGTCCAAAGAAACTTCTGACGAGGAGCAGTACTTGGAGCTTTACCTGTACAACACCAACAGGAATATCAGATGGGAATCACAAACGTCCACCGGTAGCGATGCAGGTCCTGATTCCCTGCTCGAGGAATTCATGAACGTGCTAAGGAACTGCGAGAAGTCGAAACGCTACGTCACGTCAGCAGTTTGCACCCGCCGGTCCGGATTAGTCTACGTATCGTCAGAGGATGATAATTGGGGGAGCACGACACCTGATCTCCCGTCCAGCTCACCTACCAACTTTGTGTACGCAAGAACATAAATATAATCTTGTGTCATTAAGATTAACTTACATGTATCTATGGATTTCTTATTCGTACAGTCAAGTCACAAACGAACAATGTGGTCGCTCCCTCGACCTCCATATCTATAACATTAATGGAGGCACTATCCACAAGACGACGCTACCCAATGAAAGTCCAGCCGCACACTTCCATTTCCTCTGGTACTTCCTATCCGTTCTTGAATATTGCCGCACCAACACACAACTAATGGTCCAGAACGCTGCTTACACTGAAGGAGGCGCCTCCATTAACATACTCGGAGCCGATGCAGAATGGTTAATGGGTTTGGATTCGATGCTCAAGAGGGAAGCTTAGCTAGGAATGTTACTGTAGCAATGGAACAGGACAAAAACCGCATAAATAATTACCACTGATTCAAATACAGTGCACCGCCTCAGATATTCGGAGACCACTTTAAGAAACCCCACGGGCGGGACCACATATATTTAAGGCTACTTCAACATGCAGTACACCTTAAGGCTCGTGTAAAAAGCTCAATTGTTAGATATGATTGCACTTCCGAAGACATCTAAAGCTGCAAGTTGGCCCCATGTCGTGAATCCCTGGGGCGGACCGTGCCAGTTAGATGAATAAGTGCTTCCATTCGCAGCAAGGTCAAGAAGGGCATTGTACTATAAGTTGGTCAGTTTCATTACATGATTAAAATACAAGCGGGTTTACCTGAACATCAATATAACTATGAATGAGAATACGGAGATTGGTGTTCGAGGGATTTCGAGCAAAAGCTTCGTAAAGTCCTCGAATAAATATAGCTAGAAGATTAGGTGGTTAGATTCTATTGTCGCAACACATAAACTAATCCAGAATACCTTTAAATCCAACACCGTCGTTGTTGCTGGAGGTGCTTACACCTTCTGTAATGATTCCATCGCTTCCCTGCCAGGCAGAGAATTTGACTGCTGTGGCGACGATGTTGACCATTCTGATAAATTTGAGTTACCAAAGATTATTTAATAACGGTGTCTAAATCTTACAATGTCCTCCATTGCGAATCTCCAGTGACGTCCGCCAAGACACTGAGACCTTCGACAAACTTGCCACTGTTATAGGTGAAGAGCCAGTTTGCTGGTGACCTTGAACAGTCATGGGCGTTGACGGTGTCGAGGACAATATTGCCGTTCAAGTTGTGAGACCTGAGCCAGTTAGCACTTAGAATGGCCGCATTTGTATATTTGGCATCCTTGGTAATCTCAGCGAGGTATGCAGAGAGGCTTATGCCATGTTAGTTTAACGTAGCTGGTTTGTGGAAGATTATGCATACGTTACATATAGACTGGGATGAACTTTTGTGAGAAATAATCACAGGAGAGTGTCAGGGGAAGGCTAACCCAGTAGTAATTGAATTGATTGATTGATCATCTGACGTAGGGCGCTGTAGAATGAGTCAATCAAAGATAGTGGTACGCACGGTACATAAAAACATGTGACACATACCCAGAAAACGCCACCGGCCATGGTCACTAAAAGCTCAGTCAGAGAATGCAAACTCCACATCGAAAAAACCTACCCCCGTCACAAGTGGAAGAGAGTGTGAAGGACTTGTTTGGGTTTCTACCCGCGCTTGCCTGGGAAGCCGTCACCACACTTAGGGTCTATGGTTAGACAATGTGTGAATGCCCGGGAATGCGAGTTACTCACTAGTTTGTGACATGGTTCCAGGTGGTGACTGCATTAGCCAATAAAGTTGTATCCCCATATGCCCGATATGCATATACAGCGGCCTGAGCCCACCACCTATAAGTCAATTTTTTAGATAGGGTGTAAGTCAAAATATCTTGGCCTTACATTGCATCATCATTGAACTATCGGCATTATTGAATTATCAGGTAAATAATCAAATATGTGATTACAATAACATACACTGAAATCAAACTGTTTCAAGCACTGAAATAGGGATAATAATTTTGACCTACCCGAATTGATCATAGTTTGCTCGAAGCTTGAACACATTCTTGAGGTTATTTACAACCTGCACCTTGTTGACCGTTGTTCCTGCGAAACGGTCCTGGTTGGCCATAGCTGACCATACGTTGCCCGATTGCCAATATCCGATACCTGTTAAGTATTATTTGAGAACTCCACACTTCAAGTACCGAAACTTGCCATTGAACTCCCCATTCGCTGAATTTAACTGGGGAAGGATACTATTGATCGCATTCTGCGCGATAGAGATACGTTCCGAAAGTGGGCGAGTATTACTAAATTTCTGAAATTCTGTCAGAGATAGAAACAGTACTCGGAGCTCAACGTACCCGCCAGGAAGTTGGGACAGACAGATCTTGGGCTGTAGCGAGTTTAAGCAAACTGAGGGCCAAGCAAAGGAGAGGGGTTGAAATCAGCATCTTGGACGTCCGAGGGCCAAGAACACGGTCTCTGGTGGAATTTCGGCGTCCCCAACTATTTATGTAACTCCTGCTGAGACGTTGCATGACAACGTGGCTTACGACGACGAAGGGGCTGAAATTCCGAGCATGTGGGCCCCATACATTACATCAAGCAAATGATCATGTTACAACACACGGGGATTGCACCGATTCTCGAGTTAACGGCGAGTGTGACCGAATTTGCAAGAAGTATGACCAAGTGATTTTGCTGCGCGTGGTCAAAGGCAGTGTCGGAATAGCATGACCTTGACGTTGGAAGCAGAGCATATGCATATGGTAGAGTCAAACCAAAGATGGCAGTGGCAATGAAATGAATTTCTCAAGAAAATGCGTACATGAAACGACGTGACGCTCACTGGCAAGTCTGCTACAAAAAGTTTAGAATCGAGTTTATTTTGGAGAGTCCATGATAACTCCAAACATGTCCAAATAGCAATTGGGTGTATCAGCGTGGCCTTTAGCAGTGGCACTTATCTTTCTGGAAGCGATTCCTCCCAGTTCAAATGGCACCAGTCCTTCAAAATAAAAAAGCGAGGGACCAGGTTAAAGTTTTCCTCGCGAAAACAGGCCTTTGGAACATCAAACCTGGGGAATGTACTATTCTCCGAATTCCACATGCTTTCTGGCTCCAATACAACTCACGCAAGACTCGTGCCCTTGATAGAACGTTCGGCGAGGAATCACGGCCCCGTGTCGTACTCCCGCTTCGCAAGTGACTACCATACTTTCAAAAATAAATGCTGAGAACTAGACTGATACCGGTTGAAGCTCCCGTGTCGCCCCTTGTGGTAAAAGGCTACCATAGACTTGATAAATTTAGTTATATCAGTCATATATCCACATCTACTAGACAACTTCAAATGCGGACTTGATTCCCCAGTATAGGACTAGGAAGGGTGGAAACTCATTACCCATGTGTGTCCGAAATTTCGGTGCTTCTATTTTGCCTGCTGATGAA